CTTGGTAGATTCACTGCCAGAATCATGACATAAAGCATCTCTACATGGACTGCATGAACAGACTTGTTTTCTGGGGCATTAGAGTTTATTTGGGCTCTCCTTTAGTCTCTGTCTATAAGAATATCTCCATAGTGTCACTGGCTTCTGTCCCAAGAAACTTCGCAAAATAAAACCTGAATGCAGGAAAGATCCACAGGATCTTGCAAAGTTCAGTACTTTAGTTTAATTTCAATGTTAGGTTTAGATTTTTACTTAATTATCTGAATAGCTGAAATCTATCTCTTCCTCCCCCTTTCTAAATCTCTTAACCAAACCAAATTCCCTTGTGTTAAAATGCAAGCAGTCTTTTCCTATGACTCCTAAGTCATATTCTTTACCCACTCAGATCAGTTCGCCAGATGTCTTCTTGACACTGCAACTCATCTTCTTCACCATTATCCACATGCAATCCCTGACCTGACCCTACCCTGAAGAGACACTCTCTGCTGCTCAAAACTGTGTGTGGAGAAATTATATGTATATAATATATATATAATATATATAATGTGTATATGCATAGGTTTCATGTATTTTGACATTATACTTTTGTATGTATCTGTGTCTATGCATATATATCTATATAGAGGTAGAGATTTTTTTTTACACAGAAATCTCAGGGAAGTGAGAGAGAAAAAAATTCTGAAGGGTTAGACAGTCTTGCAGACAGAAGTCTTGTGGTATTAAGTTTAGAAGTTGTTGCACATGCTCAGCCTGGTTCACCCTGGACCCATCAGGGCCAATGCACACAATGCACAGCCTTACTGAAATTGAAAAGTAGGATGTAGGAGAGTGAAGTTCATCCAAACTTGAGCAGGGAAAATACTGGGGGTATTTTGGGCTAAATCAGGAAGGAAGTCCCTGGTTCAAAACACATCATTAGTTTGTATTTTAAAAATCTAAATGTTGTTTACATGTGAACATTGTTCTTAGGGCTGATATCAAGTACAAGTAAAGAAGTAATCCCCAAATTTGTCAGCGTACAGATCACATTTAGAGATACTTTCAATTAAGGTAAAAATGACACTGTTGCTTATCCCTGGAAAGATACATTCATTATAGTATAGCAACTGGTGAGAATCAGTGAAAAATCCATCTTCTTTGGATAAATGCCATTGTTGATTAATCTCAGTATGTTTCAACCATGCACAGATTCCTCATGGTTTCCCCATAAATACGCTGCTCTCATTTTCTGGAGATAACAGCCTCTCTTGTGTGTCCGGGTCCTCTCCAGCTTGGGACACTGCTTCATTTGAAGGATTTGCTTTCCTGAGTTTAGCTCTGGGGACTCAGAGCACCTTATCACACTTTCACCAGCTCACTTTCTGCAGCACTGGGGACAGAGAGGGAGGGAAAAAAAGGGGAAACCAAGAACAAAACAAAACAAAACAAAAAAGCATGCCAGGGCTTGTGCCAGTTCAATCCAAGCTCTCCAGGGATTTGTTTTTTTTTGGCGCCGGATTAGCTGTCAAACCCAGCAGCGTTTTCGGTGCCCGTGGAGTCTCCCGCGATGCTAATCCGCAGGGGCGCAGCCGGAGGGGCGCTTGGGGGCTCGTCCTCCCATGCAGCCCCTCGATTGCTGCCCCGGGGGCGGGCGCAGGGCCCTTATCAGTCCCCGCCGCCGCCAGCGCCGCAGGGGCTGCGCCGCTCGTGCCGACAGACCCGCGTGCCAGGCCCGGGCTCCGGCAACGAGGGGCCGCGGGGATTTCACAGAGAGTCCGCGGAAGGTGATGGCGAGCAGAGGGAGATGAGAGGAGCTGGAGCTAAGCCGAGGTATAAACATGGCGTGGTGGTTTGGTTGCTCGTTTCTGGCTTTAAGTGGATTTTATGAATTAATGTTGAATTGTGAAAGCACAAAACGTGATTTTTTTGCTGTACTCCTCTTGAATCTACTTTGCCAAAAATTTTACTGCTTTTTTCATTCCTTGCACAAGTACAATTGAGTCTCTTCATTATCTCACATAATTTTCATATTAATGTGGTTATGTCCTCAAGTTATTCTGACTCTGCTATGGCAACAGTACTGCAAGTAGCATATTTGCTATGCCTCTCAATGGTGTGCTTCATTGCAAACAGTCTCTGTCTCAGAAAGATCTTTGTATGGGGCAATATATCTTAATGCTTTATTTTTTGTTTGAAAGACAAAGAATTGTGAAGTGCGTTAATTGCATAATTTGGCATTATAATTCTGGCATGTGACAGGGCAGTATATTTTATGACTTCTAAAACCTAAAAAGTCTTTTTTTTTTTCCTGATACAAAGGACTTTTAAAAATAGATTATTAATTTACAATTTTACATGTGATGAACTATGAGGAAAATTCATGCAATTCTTTTTTTATATTTGGCATAGCTGAGTTGTTATTCTACAGTCAAGATCCGAATAAGAGTCAATTTCTTGTTCAAATTTCTGTGATAGCTTGTTTGGATACTACCCAAAGAAAAATGTTCTCAGTGAAGTACCTATTCATACCTTTTTCCTATGAGATTTCGTCCCTTAAATAAATGGAATCATTGACCATCTTTAGAAAAGATAACTCAGGCCTATATAGTCAGTAAGTTCCCCAGCTTTCAGAAGCTGTAACAACGGAGAAATTCAGTGAAATATTTGGGGAAAACTTACATAGAGTGAGTGAAATATAATGAAAGATTTTTTTTAAACAAGTCTCAGCAGCATGAATGAAATGGAAGTGTGGAAGTTCCACACTTGGAGCTGGTTTGGATGCCATTCAGGAACATGACCTGGAAAAGCTTTTCATGTTGCTAGAGAAATAAAGGATATTGCAGGCACCTACTTAGTGCTAAAGCAAACAACCAAGATAAAATAGGCATTACTCTGATAACAGTCCTTACTTGGATAAAGTTAATGTATATGTGCCACAAAGGTTTTCATAAATCCACAGCTTCTTATCACTGTACTTCTTCTAAAGGCAATACAGAAAGCATATATATTCTTGGACGTTGTAGTAGGTGGAAATTTCAAGTTTGTATAATCCATACAATAAAGCGCATAATTTTAAATGTTATCACTCAAATATCTGAATAATTGCTAGTCCCTTTCATTCTAAACAGCACTCCAAAAAGATATATATATATATAATTTCCCCACATAATTTAGCTTTAAGATTTCCCTGGTGAGGTCAAATTAAGTTCATAAAGTTTACCCTAAAAGAAGTTTCAAATGTTCATTTTAATAATTTTTTTTTGCTTGAAAATGCTACTAAATTCAGAAATTACGCAATGCTGTGATAGACTTACAAGCTGTTTTGTCTGCATAATTTACAGATTTATCATTATTTTAGTCAGTGTCACAGCCTTGTAACAATTCAGAAACTGTAACAACTGAGAAATTCAATGAAATCTCTTCTGTGTAGACTTGCAGAATTTATATTTAACTTTTTGTTTGCTTAAACAAGAAACACACCTTGTCCCAGACTCTATATTAACTTTCTGTTTGTTACGTTAAGGAAGAACAATCAAATGTGGTTCCATTTTTTTTTTTTTTTTTTTTTTTTTTTTTTTTT